TAAACACCACCACACCACACTGTGAAATCTGTATAGGCAACCCTCTCTTACAGATAAATCCCCACACATGAGTAGGTGTCAAGACCACCTGTGTTAGTATACACACACACACACACACACACACACATCACACATTTTTCTAACTATTCTTTTAGACACTCCCTTCTACATAGCATTTTAGATACCCCCTCTATTCCAGACAGGTCCCACAGGCATAACTAATTGTCAAGACCAGTTACATAAGTATACACACATATACACATATAAGTATCCTTTTAGGTACACCCTCTCCTACAGACAAATAACACACACAACTAGTGGTCGAGACAAGCTATGTAAATACACACACACACACTCACACACATTTAGGTATCCTTTTAGGCACCTACTCTCCTAAAGACAGATCCCAAACACATATCTAGCTGTCTAAACTAGCTATGTAAGTACACAACGACACAAACACACACACACACACACACACACACACACAAACACACACACACACACACTCCTAAGAATCCTGATAGCCACTCCCTCTCCTAAAGACAGATCCCACATATAAAACTAGCTGTTAGGACCAACTATATAAGTATACACAGGTATCATATAAGTATCTTTTTAGGTACCCCCTTTCTTAAATACATATCCCACACACATAACACACGCATACACACACAAATCTAGGTATCTTTTATTCACCCCATCTCCTACAGACATATCCCACACATATAACTAGCTCTCCAGACCAGTATTTATTCACACACACAGGCACACACACACACACACACACACTCACACACAAACACAGATGGATTGGTGTCAGGTTCTATTTAGGTATCCTGTGTGATCTGTTTAAGAGAGCAGATGGCTAGCTGTACATGAAAAATGGACTGAGTGTGGGGCTTCAGCCATAAGGGAAGGGAAAAATAATGTAACCTAGAACTTATCCCTGTTTGTGTGTGCATTTGTGAATGTGTGCATGTGTTTGTATGTATGTGTGCATGTGTGTGTGCTTTGTGTGCTTATGTGTGTGTGGTTGCTTGTATGTATGTCAGATCCTACTATGCACCAGCTAAAGTTGCAAACTTCACTATAGCACAATCCCCAAATACACACATGTGTACTCACACACAAACACAAAACCATGTATGTACATGGCAAGATGTCAGATCATGTAAGATACTACTTCCCCTGGAAGAGAACACTAGGCATGCATGCATGCATGCATACATACATACATACATACATACATACATACATGCATTCACATACACAAAGGGAGAAGTGTAGGGTTGTATTATATATCACATCCATTATAGATGAAGCCCCATAATCAGGCCTATGTTTCAGTTCTGTTCAACTGTTAAACAGATCACGTACACAGGACTAGGTGTCAGGCCATGATAGATACCTCCTGCCCTAATCTCAAGGTTCAATACACAAACATATGTACTTGATCAGTACTGCTAGATACCCCTACCCTAGTGACAATATGCTCAGTACATACACATGAACAAGTCTAGGCCCTACAGTCAAAGTCAGGTTCTTCATGTTAATTCCTCCTGCAGGCAAAACTCCCCAGAACAGGGATGCTCGTGTGGTCTGCTAGGTACAAACTCACCCTCACCTCCTACCTCCAACCCACTGTTTGACTTGAATTTGTACTGTGCATCCTCCTCTATAACCAATGTCCCACACAGGAATCTAGTTGCAGGTCCTACTAGATGTCAACTCTCCTGTAGTCAAAGCCTCATACAAAAGCATGGCTTTGTGAGGATCTACCACATATTTACCTCCTACACATCCAAAACCAAACAGATACATAAGACTTAGGTTTCAGCTCCTGGATAGTACCCATCCCCCACAGTAAAAGTACCATTTGCACATATAGATCAAGATAACCATTCATGTTAGGAAGTTTCTCCCCTTCTGTCCCTCTTTCTTTTATACTCACATCTGAAGAATGAGAGCTAAGAACAGGAGATGTATAGAACCTGCAGCTCGTTTGCTAGTATTCATATACACTCTTCCCTATAACCAAATGCCAGGTACACAGCCACACGCTCAAACATACTCAGGTATACATGCTTGCATGAAACCATGCACATAATAATCAACAATACAATCAAAGCCCTGTTTACAAACAAACATCTATGTCCTTCTCCTACTATGTGTCCATCTCCCTACAACAAAGCATGTACATACACATACATAAAGAGAAAAAGAGAGAGGAGAGAGTCAGAGATAGAGACAATAACAAAGATAGAGACTGAAGTCAAAGACACAGAGATATGATATAGATAAATACATAGATAGATAGATAGATAGATAGATAGATATGGATAGATAGATAGATAGATAGATAGATAGATAGATAGATATGAATAGATAGATACGGATAGAGAGAAAGAGAGAGGGGGGTGTTCTGTGTCAGATCCATTGTTACTACTCCACACAGTTAAAGCCATCTACTCAGGGTTAGGAGTCAGGTTCTGCTTGACACAACTTCCTCTGTACCCAACGTTCCCATACACAGTTAGTTTCCCAGAATACACACCCTGCCCTATAATAAATGCCAGGTACATAGCCACATATCCAGAAACACATTGGGCACACATTCTCCAACAAATCCATTTACATACTCAATGAAGTTACAGCTTTCTACCGGGTCCTAAAAAGGTAGCTCCCATACAATTAATGCCCCACACGCACATCTAGTTGCCAAGTCCTCTGTGGTAAAGGCATCCGACATATAACAAAACCCCACATACAACTCTAAGTATTAGATTCAGTGAGGTATTCAAAATAACTGCCAAAGCCATATTTTACACAAAATCATACACACACCCACAAATGCCCCCCACACACGTAAACAAACATGCACATACACACATGTACACACATACATATGCACATGTACATATACACACGTACATGCATGCACACATACATGCTTGCACACATGCACATGTGAATACACACAAGCATGCACAAAACCACATGCACGCATGCTGGATAAACCCCCGGGGAGGATGACTCTACCTTAAGTGCCCAAATTTATACTAATTAAAATTGGGAATTTTAAATCTTAATTAACAAATGGAATTAATTGGCTATTCTAACTGAAACCATGGTGCCTCCCTTTTGAGATCCCCTCTTAACTGGACTGCAACAGACAGGTCTCTTACTTGAGAAACGAAGTGGGTCGATAGCCCTCAGGATTATGACCCTGAGCAACACAATCTTTAGCCCTAGTTTGCCTTTGCCACATGAAAGGCCACAAACCCAGCACCATTTTCTTACAAAGCAGATCATGCTTTACTTGTTAACAGACAAACCCTCAGTGCAGGCCTGATTGAGCCAGCAAGACAAATGAGTTATCAATGACAGGTACGTCCTGGGTGACATCTACCAGCCTAAGACAGAGAGTTTGTGAGGTCCAGGCAGACTTCTCATTGACGGGTTGCATAGATGTTAATGTTCCAGGCAACCTAAGCCATACACTTATTTTCTAATTTTATATGAAAGAGGGATTTGTTGCACCCACCCTCCATGGGGGTATGTTGACCGCTGGTTACTAGGAGCTTTTAGCAAAACACTTCTTGTCACCTCCTCCCAGTAAGGCTTGCATGGAAGTTCATGTTTATTGTCTAAAGGTTAATTCCTGGTTTTGGCCCACCCTTTTGCTGGAGGGCCCTGGGAACATAGGCTTCTGACCTTGGTGTTTTTACACCATACCTGACTTTGGTATATAAGGCTCTACCATTGTAATAATAAATGTCATTCTCTTTGTAAGAATGAACCGCTGTCTTTGTCTTTATTTTCCTCCTTAGCCCTTAGCCTCAGATCATTGTGAAGTATAGTAACACTGGAGCTGCAAACACACTGGCAGCTTGCTACAGTGGGGATTTTGGAGGGGGATGTGATGGGAGGACTTGGGAGGAGGGGAGAGAAAGGGAGAAAGACCTGGGATTGACATGTGAAGAATCCCTGTTTCAAATTTATATTTAAAAATAAAAAATGGAAAAAATGGGGTACAGAACTAAATAGACAATTCTCAATAGAGGAGTCTAAAATGGCCAAGAGGCATCCTTAGCCATTAGGGAAATGCAAATCCAAACAACTCTGAGACACCATCTCTCACCCAACAGAATGACTAAAATCAAAAACACTATTGACAGTTTATGCTGGAGTGGATGTAGAGAAAGGAGAACACCCCTCCACTGCTGGTGGGAGTGCCTACTCATACAGCCACTTTGGATATCAGTATGGCGATTGCTCAGGAAAATGAAAGTCAGTCTACCCCAAGATCCACCAATTCCACTATTAGGCATATAGCCAAAAGTTGCACCTTCATACAGTAAGGACATCTGCACAACTATGTTCATAGCAGCATGGTTTGTGATAGCCAGAACCTGGAAGCAACCTAGATGCCCATCAACTAAAGAGTGGGTGAGAAAATGTGGTGCATTTATACAATGGAGTACTACTCAGCAGAAACAAAATGGAATCTTGAAATGTGCAGGCAAATGGATGGCAGTAGAAGAAACCATCCTGAGTGAGGTAGCCCAGTCACAAAAAGGTAAAAATGGTATTTGCTCACTCATATATGGATTTTAGACAAGGAGCAGGGCAATGCCAGCCTATAATCCCACAGCAAGAGAGTCTGGGGTGCAAGGAGGACCCTAAGAGAGATATGCATGTGCTGTGATCTCCTAATTGGATTGGGGGGAGAAGGGGAAGGAAGAAGGAGATGGGAAAAAGAGAAGGGGAAAAGATGAGGGCCAAGGAGGACATGGGAGAGCAGGAAGGTTGAGCCAGGATAAGAATAGAGGAGACAAGGAGGGGAAATACCATAAAAGAGCGAGCCATAATAAGTTGGAGGAGAGGTCTGCCATTAATGAGTTCTTCACAGATCTAAAAGAATGACACCAACTAGCACTAAGCCAACCTTAAATGCGAATGAAAATGATGACTACCTTATATATCATCCTAGAACTCTCAACTCATGGCTGATGGAGGCAGTGACAGACATCCAATGCAGGGAACCGAATGGAACTCCTGGAACCCAGTTGCATGATGGCGAAACTGAGAAATGCAGGTAACTAAACTAGGGGGTACACAAGGACCCCAGACTGATGACTGAGGGGCCAGCATGGGACTGATCCAGACACACACGCCCACAGATCCTGGGTGTCAGAGAAGAGGACAAGGAAACCTGTGGGACCTCAGACAGTAGACCAGTATTTCTTCCTGGCATACAGATCGACTCTGGGAACCCATCCCACATGGAGGGATGCTCTCTCAGCATGGACACCTGGGGGAGTACGTAGGCCCTGCCGGGCTGATGTGACACACTCTGAAAATCCATCATGGAAGCCATTGCCCTCCCAGGGGAGCAAAGGGAGGATGAAAAGTGGGTGAGGGGTTGGGAGAACTGGGAGGTGAGGGGGGAGGGGAGAGAGAGGGAACTAAGAGTGGCATCTGTAAAATGTTAAACAAACAAACAAACAAAAACAACAAACTCCAACAAATACTTAAGACAAAATATCCCCGAATATGGGACAATGTGAAAAGACCAAACCGAAGAATAATGGGTAAAACTGAAGAAGGCAAAGAAGCCCAGCTCGATGTTGCAGAAAACATATCAGCAAAATCACTGAAGACAACTTTCCCAACCTGAAAAAGGATATGCCTATGAAGTACAATAAGCTTCCCGAACACTAACTAGAATGGACCAAAAAATAAAAATAAAAGTGACCTCGCCACATAATAATCAAAATACCAAAATACAGAATAAAGGAAGTAATAAAACCAGCAAAGGAAAAAGGCCAAGTAACATATAAAGGCAAGCCTATCAGAATTACACCCAAATCCTCCATGGAAACAATGTAACCCAGAAGGTCCTGGATAGATAGATGTTCTACAAACACTAAGAGACCACAGCATCTAGCCCAGACTACTTCTCCCAGCAAAACTCTCAATCACTATAGATGGAAGAAAACAAGATATTCCATGATAAAATCAGAAGATAATAAAAATATTCAGTAATTATTTTATACTAAATTCTAGTGCAGTTGTGGGGATCAACTCAAAACAGCTAGGAATGAAGCCATTATTTCCCAACAATTATGAACCAAGCACTGCTCTAAGCTTCCACAGAGCAGAAGAAAAGGCTCTAAGGTAAACACCGACTGCATGATGGCAAGGAAGCCAGGACCAACCTTTGCAAAACAAGGATTCCTCCTTCCTCCACCCCCGGAAAGTTGTAACATTGTTGCGAAAGGAAAACAACCTCAGCAAGCAAGGCAGAAGGGCAGCTACTCTTACCAAGGGATATTCTTGGCATTATATTGAAGTCTGAAAGATTATAATTCAGGAAGAAGGCAGCTGGCAGGCTCATACCAGTCTGAAAAATCATTAGGAAACATTTTAAAGATGAGAGTTCTCACATCTGAACTATTACTAAGGCTTACAAGTGAAAGATGAGATGGAATGGTGTTCTTAGCTACTGGGGCTGGGTTGATGTGTTTCTTTTTGGTTTTGGTTTTGGTTTTAACCAGACTTTCCTCTTCAAAATAAGTTTTGATTTAAATTAGAAACATGCATGCTTCACACATCAATCCCAGCTCCCTCTCCCATACCTCTTCCCTGCATCTACTAGTCCCTCAGAGGCCCTGCATAACAGCACAGGTCAAACCCTCAGGGTGGGGCAGTAGGAGAGCAGGATGGGGACAAGGCTCCTCCACTACCCGTCAAGGCCCCCATGACATTCCCAAGCATACTTCAGGCTTTGCTAACATCTCTGAGCCCAAATTCCAATAGCATCAGTGCATCTGTGTGCCTCACTGGTGTCTGGGGATGTAAGATGCACCGAGGATAGCTCCTACACTGTCTGTGGCCCCCATGACTGACTTGGACTCCTGTTGGACATCACACACAAGAGTTCTGGCCCCAGAGGATGAGGATAATGTATCACTAATGCCACGGATTGAGCAAGAAGTCTAGGTAGTTTAAGCAGAGTTAGAGGTCCTACATATCTTAGGTATGCCAGCAACATTTGGGACTCTAGACACAATGATGTACCCCTTTGGAAGTCACTAGGTGTCAATAAAGCACTGTTGGCCAATAGGGAACCAAGATAGGTGGGACTAGGAGTCAAGCAGGATTCTGGGTAGGAGAAACACAGGAAGTCAAGATGTAACTGCCATAGGAATAAGAAGCCCAGAAGGTTCTCCGGTAAGAGAAATACTTAGTTTAACAATTATGGGGTAGTTTCTTTAGTCAGAGCTAGCCAGTAAGAAACAGGCAAGGCCAACAGGTTCTTAATTAATATAGCCTCCTCTGTGTTTATTTGAGACTGATGCGGCTCTGGAACCTGGCTAGCAGGAAGGCTTCTCTTGACAACTAGGTGTCTCCACTATGCTATCTGGTGTACTTCAGGCATAGAGAGATTCTTCTCTGTATACTTATAGGCTCGACCATCACCCTCTGCCCAACTTGTGATCCAGGTGGCTGTATTAAGAAAGATTCAACTGAAATCATTGGCTTGGATTCCCCATCCTCTCCGATCCTCAAGTACCCTTACGTACCAGACTTCAGTTGGCTTGAGAATTTCAAGCCACAAAAGGGATTACAGTTTTTTCCTCCTGAATTTGTAGGTTACATGCCCAAATTAAAGAACACAATTGCTTTGGTATTCCAGTTGCGTAATTGCCCATTAAATAAAGCAAAAATGAAATTGAATCATAAACTTCACACACACAATGAAGAGTTTAAACGTTTTATTTATTTAAATATAGTCATTTCCACTGGAGAAGCCCTAGACACAGCCTTAAATGATGTGACAAACTTTGATGATCCCACATGCAAGGCCTAAAACGATGGGGTGCAGAAGGTGCATGGGGCACTGGGATGGCAGGGTATGATAGGCTGGAAGAGAGAGATAATTGGGAACCACATTAAAACTACATTGTCTCTAATTTAAATAAATCTCCAGGGAAAAAAGAAATAGTCATTGCACTCAGTAGGGAATTAACAGGGCATTTTATATATAAAATATATAGCCTTAGCCAAATATCAATATGAAACAAGAACAAAGGGCTTCAACAGGGCATGGAGTACATAAAACATATAATCTTAATAAAATGTCAAACACAAAACAAGAACAAAACTCAGATCCAAAGAATCATAAAACGTGAAACTGGAACAACAATCCCAAACCACGAACAAACAGTGAAAAGCAGTAGCTTCAGCACTGGACAGGATGAGAATTTTGAGCAGAGACATGTCCTCCCTCCATGTTGTTGAGCTCCACTTGCTGGTAGATGTGTGGGCTCTGAGTATTTCTTGGAAGGTATTTTGGATCTCAAACTTCTTTGTGATGATTTTGTTACTCCTGAAATTGAGACAAGAGACACATGAATCAGACATGGGACATACCAAATAACTTAGCATAATATTAGCATCACGGGTGAGATTACAGCTAGATTGACAGTTCTTATGGTGAGGTCTTGATTCTATTTTGGAGAATGTTGTGATTTTTGCTTTTCTGTGGCTTCCTTAGACCTCCTTAATTCTCTGAAAGTGTGCTGTGAGATAAAGAAAGGCAGTCAGTTCCAAAATCACCATTGTTCTGTTACCAATTAGACAAAACCAGGGTATATTCACACATACAAACATAGATTTGAGGAAGAAACGCCTCCCCAGGAATGCCATTGTTTGTGAAAATACAATGCAATGGTGGCTCACTTGCCTGTGTCTCTTAGTGCTCGTGGAACTGCAGTTCTGTCTGCAGGGTGCTCTCATCATGGCCTGAAGCCTTCTCTATCTCCTGTTGCAGTTTTTCTGATCTGGAAGAGGAAGGACCAGTCAGAGATCAGTCCTAGTGGGGTCCTGCTTGTCAGCTTTCAAATGTGACCTCACAAATACTCGACTATGCTGAAAACTGTAGCATTGATCACATGACAGTAGTCGTTGTTTATACCCCCAGTGAATAAGGGTCACAGAAAAGCTTGTCCTTGAATTTGTCAGGCTTCTACCAGTGTCGCAGGCTGATCTGAGTACTGTATGTATGTGCTATATAAAGAAAGAACAGAACATTCTCCAACACACCATATTAAATACACAAATAACAGCAGAGTGGAGAAACACAGAATATTCGTGGTGAGTTAAACACAGACCACATCATTTTATAGGCAGACATAAAACGACATTTCAGCTTAGAAAACTGGTAAGGCCATGGGGCACTCTCATGCCGCATATCCAGAAAAAACCTTACACAAAGGCCTACATCATCAAGCCTATTACTTCCTAGTGAAAAGTTCATGTTGCCCGGAACAGCAGAGTATTCAGACGTGTAGGTTCCCTGGTGTTGCCTGGAGTCTTGCCTATTTCTTGCACAAAAGGCAGAAATCAAAAGTAGGAGATACTGACTTGAACCTGGCTCCCAATTTCAACTCCTGGCTCATACCTCATCTGGGAGACAGTCAGGTAATTCTGCAGCTTTCCTGCTAAGGTCTTTTTCTCAATGATTAGCTCCTCCTTTTGCTGGGACTGTAGATTTGCCTCCAGTCTCTGCTGCTCCTGTTCATTAGAAGATTGTGATCTTAGTAGAGATTTGAGCATAGGTATGATTTCACTCTAAGACAAGTGCAAGCCCACACAGGGGATCTCGAGGAAGCTTCTGTGAAGGTGGATTCCTGTTTCCGGACAGACACTGACAAACCAAGTGGTCTCCTCTTAAACACCTTCCACATGCATTGGATAATAACCCCCTCAATTTCCTCCACTGCCCTCTCTAGGTGATTGCATATATACAGCTGTGCACACAAACAGAGACATGGACATATCAATAAACAGAGAGACAGAGAAGGGAAGAGAGGGAGAAAGAAAGAGAGAGAGAGAAATAGAGACTCAGACAGGGAGAGAGAGAGAGAGAGAGAGGGATAGAAAGACAGACAGACAGACAGACAGATAGCCAGACAGACAGAGACAGAGGTGAAAAGAGGGCAAGCAGATAACATAACAGCCCCTCATTTTGAAGATTTCAACATACAAAACTCTAAGCCTGTCTTCCAGGAATTCCACATCCCTGAAAAC